ATAAACATCGACTTGAACACCGAGAGCTCAGTTTTCAGACTGAGCTCTGCTTTAGTCACAATGGGTCGGGCCAATTCACGCAGAGCGCCATTGGCTACATCAATTCGCCGGTGGATCTCTTCCGCCAGTTTGCTATCACTAGTAAATACAATTCCGAAGTACTTGAACTTCCCCACCTGCTCCACTGCCTCTCCGATAATCTGAAGAGACCAACGGACAGCAGAACAAGAAATCACAAGGCTTTTCTCAGCGTTCACATGCATGCCGGACACGTCGTAATCGACCGCGAAAATTTCTAGGGAGCACCGTAAATCAGTTTCAGAAGATACCAACAAAGCAAGGTCGTCTGCAAACAGCCACCTTCTCGACTTCACATCTCCTACATCGATACCCTCATAGCCTTGGCAGCTCCAGAATATTCTATCCACGTATATCAGGGGACAGGACGCGGCCTTGGTGGAGACCACTGCGAACGTTGAATCGTTTCCACTTAATGCCATTAACTCTGACGCAGCACCTGCTATCAGAACACAGTGAATCTATGGCCCTTAGCAGCTGACCATCTATTCCGTATGCTCGAAGGCATGTCCACATACCGTTGCGTGGGATTCGGTCATAACGCTTTTTCTAGGTCCACAAAACACATGTACACCGGATGGGAGTACTCTCACGATTTCTCAACAATCTGGCGCAGGGCGAATATATGGTCAGGGGTGCTTCGACCGAACAGGATGACCCAGCTCGTTTGGATCTTGAGGTCAGCTATTTAGCGGCACCTCCTTTGTAGCAGCTTTGCGTCGACTTTACCTGGAGGGCTCAATAACGTAGTGCCAGCATAATTGGAGCACTCCTTGTGGTTTCCCGTCTTGAAGAGAAATACACTATTTCCAGTTCTCCAGTCCGATCTTGTCTTTCCCCTAGTCATCGCAGTTTGACAGACACGTGTAAGCCACCACGTGTCATGGTCGCCTAATGCCTTCAGCACCTCAGGGCGGATTTCGTCAATTCCAGCAGCTTTTCCATCTTTCAAGCGTTTCACAGCTTGTGCAATTTCATCTACAGATATTGTAATATGTATGGCGAGTCAGGCGAGTCTTGCTGCGGTTGCGCGTGGTTAAGGCGCTCCTCAGAGTATTCCCTCCATCGCCAAAGAATGTCATCATCCTTGGTAAAGGTGTCCAGATCTGTCATTCAAGACTCTGAGACTGCCCGTCTTTTCACCTCGGAGCCGGCGGATGGTCTGCCAGAACACTTTGCCATGTGGAACACAGTTTGCCATGTGGAAATTCGACTACAACAATACACCGACCTTCTTATAGGAATCAGCTTTGGCTTTTGCTACTGCTTTCACTGCCGCCTTGCGTGTCTCGGCATATCGCAGCCGAGCAGAAGGCTCTCTGTTTCCAAGCCACTTCTAGAACGCTGCTTTCTTCTCTTTAACTGTCAGTTGTATCTCTCGTCTCCACCACCAATATCTTTTCTGACCTCCAGGCGGTAGGCCAACCCGTTTATATCCGCAGCATTCGGCGGCAGCCTCGAGTATGCCGCTCTTAAAGAACTGCCATTCGGTTTCCACATCAGTTGTAATCACTGGGATCTAACCAAACCGTCGCGTGATGTTGTTCGCAAATTTCGCTCTCGTGTCCACCGAAGACAATGTTTCCCATTTG